TGAGATATTGTAACTATTTACGCTATTTATCTTGTTCGGACAAACGTCGTAAATACGATCTAAAAGATGAGGACATCTTCTATATCGTATTTACGACGTTTCGAACTTTGTACACTCCGACCGTCTTCAGGTGATTGGAATTTCGAATCGGGTCCTTTATTTCGTCCACCAGGGGAGTTCCATGTGCCATGTCTCTTCCGGAGATCTCAGTTACAGTTTCATATATTTCCCTTTAGTAACCAGTCCTGGGTATGACGATAAACTACATCCGGCAGCAAGGCCTTTGATCAAAAGGTTTTGAGGACCATGGAACCACCACGTTAATTGATGGTTATCCCAGATCCACCCTGACCGGGGGTGGTAGCGCCTGTCAGGGTCCTAGCTATGGGCAAATAGTTACCCCCCTCCCAAAGAAAATGGGGTCAAAACAACATGAAAGAATAAAATAGGTTTTAATACCAGCAATACAGTTTTGAAAAAAATATTACCATATATATACATAATATATTTTTGGGAAAAGTATTACTAGCAAATAAAATCTTGTCGGCATTAAATAAACCATTGAGGTTGGTATGCCGGAAAATAAAACATAACCTTTAGTAACTTAGCTCATCAATTTTTTTTATTGCTAACCTCAGCTGTGGCCAGGTATTGAACTCATACCGCTTTCAGCCATAGATTACTTCAGCCAACGTCTTTATCCAGTGGGCCATAGACCATTACACCGGAGAATGTAAATAGTGTAAATAAGCTAATTCTGCTTCAGATTTCTCCAGACCTGAACTGAACTGTGATTCTTTGGTTTTCATGATGCAGTTTGTTCGGTAATGTTCTCTAGGAGTCTTCACAGAATTAGTGTGTATTTAACTGAAGAGGGAAGAATCGAGAGTCGTAACTTCCATTCTTTCCTTGAATCAGAAGAATCATGTGACTAATCATGTGTCTGCTAAAGGAAATTTGTTGTACTGAATTTTACTTAATTGGGTTCACACTAAAAGATGGTGAGTGAACGCACTCATCATTTTTCAGATTTTTATTTGTAAATAATTTTGAAAAGCATGTAATAATTTCCATCCACTTGAAAATGATACACAGTCTTAGGTTTGCTTAATTACATAAAAAAACAAACAAATAAAATACATTCAAATTTGTGGTTATAATTTGACAAAATTTGAAAAAGTTCAAGATGAGTAAATACTCATACAAACAACACAAACAAACACAAACACATACATACATACATACATTTTTTAAGCGTTTCACCCCAAGCATGGCGGGAAACCACTAGCACGCAAGGGGTTACAGAGAATTGGAGCAAGAGCAAATAGGAGTGATGGAGGAAAGGATGAAGAGAAGGATAGATCAAGGCATCTGGAGACGTCGTTTGACATTACATTTGAGTAGTTGGAGATTATAGCTATCAGGGAAACAGGAAGAGGGGAGGGTGGTCCACAGGCGAGAAGTGCGAGACATGAAGCTATTGGAGTAGAAGAGACGGCTATATTTAACAGCTTCGATAGTGAAAGTGTGTGAGCGAGATGCCAGCCTAGTAGAACGCTTAAATTCATGAAGTATGGGAACTAGCGAAAGCGGCTCCTCGGAGCAGTTACCATGAAAGTATTTGTAAAAAAAAAAAAAGACAGAAAGGTGGGGGGGGGGCAACGGCACGTCATTGGGAGAGCGGCCGTAGACGAGATGCCAGAACAGGGCCAATTACATTGTATATCCCTCTCTGGATTTTATCAAGGACCTTGAGACAAACAGACGGGGCTCCAGACCATATATAGCAGCAATACTCCATACACATACATACATATATATTTAAATAGATTTAGGATTAGGATTCAATATAATACAAAGTAATGCCATGTATAAAATAAATATCTTTAGTTAGACCGCACCGGAAAATATATGTATGAAATAGTAACATATATTATCATTATAGACCCATAGTAACAAGACCAGTCTGTCCAACTAGTAGACTCAGTAAGTTAATAGATACAATACTACAACTATATGCTAAGCAGATTAAAAGATACATCAGAGACTATATTTACTTCCTTAGCTCCATACCACAAAAAGTAGATCCGGGAACACTTATAGCAATTTTTGACATTAGTAGCGTATATAGCAACATACCCCATGAATTAGGTAAGGAGGCAATCTCATTCTGTATTGAAAAACATCCAGAAACACTACATCCCAGATTCAATAAGGAATTTCTTATCAATAGTATAGACCTAATTCTAAACAATAACACATTTGAATTTGACAACAAAATCTATATCCAAACCCTAGGTACTGCAATGGGAACAAAAATGGCATCTACATATGCTACCCTAACATTAGTTTACCTAGAGGAAAACCTCTATAAAAAGATAGAAGAAATATATGGGGAAAATATAAAACCCACTTCACTAAATCCTGAAACGATACTTAGATGATAGCTTCATTTTCTGGAAATTCTCATGGGGTGATATTAACCAATTCCACACTCTACTTCAAAACTTACACCCAAAAATCAAATTCACCCAAGAATATAATTTCAACGAATTACCATTTTTTAGATACACTCCTTAGAAATAAAACAACCACAGATATCTACCGCATACCTACAGACACCCAGCAATATCTTCAATTCAAGAGCCATCACCCAAAAAGCTGCCTGAAATCCATCCCCTATTCTCTAGCACATAGGGTTTGTACTATAGTGACTGACAAACACCTCCGAAAAACCCACTTAGAAGAACTACATAAAACTCAAAAAAAAAAAAACGAGGCTACCCCCACAACACTAATAAACAAAAGTTTTGAACTCTCAAAAAAAATTCCTTTAGACCAACTACGAAATCCAAAGAAACATAACGTCAAACAAACTCTAACACAGGATTCAACATACAACAAGAACAATCTAAAACTATTTACAGAAATTACAAAAGATCTAGACCAACTTAGCAGGAATGACAAACTGAAAAATATACTAAAAACAACCAAAATAATTAAAAGCAAATGCCAATCTAAAAATCTAAAACACATACTAACCTCATCCAAATTTAACCAACACACAATACAGAGAGTCACAAAATGCAACGAAAAAGATGTGGGGTTTGTGATATATAGGTATCAGCCAACAACTAAACAACAGGGTTTCCCATAGACAAAAGCAACATAAACTTACCAGACAACAGAAAACTCTTTGTATCACAACACATCTATAAATGCAACCAGGGTGAATTTAAAATTATGCCAATATACCAAAAAACAATTATTCTTATCTACAAATACAGGAAAAAATTTCATAAACAAATTTGAATCAGCAGTAAATTAATCATGACCCCACACACAAAAACACAACATAGCACACATAATGGCCAAATACAGTGGATGAACAACTCACATACATACACACACACACTCACAAGCGGCTATCTGTGGAGCACGAATATTGACAAAATACACATATTGACAAAAACAAATAGACTACTCACAAGCACACACACGAACCCCACACAACATAGGAAGTGTGTGTATGTGTATGCATGTATATATATATATGTATATGTGTGTGTGTGTGTGTGCGTGTGTCTGTATGTATGTGTGTGTATGAGTGAGTGTATATATGTATATATATATACATATATATATATATATATATATGTGTGTGTGTGTGTGTGTGTGTATACTAATTCCTTATAATAAGACAGTATGTATGTATGGAGAGGGAATATACATATACATACGCATACTAGCAAAAATACAAACAATACAAAAAAAAAATGGAAATAGATCTAAGAACACACAGGGGTTATTAAAAGATAAGAATATAGATATCTTTCCTTAACCTTTCTCGGAACAATCTTAATTCAAGTAGATGAACTTCCTCACCACTAATCCAAGAAAGATATTTTTGTCACTAGCACACAAAAAAGAAAATGTTTAACATCGAAAAACATAACGTAAATTAATTCATTTTAATAATATGTAGAAATATCCACTCTTTGCCTGTTGAAGATCGCGAGACCCGAGATACATTTTGCAAAATTATGGAAAATAAAGCATAATATATATTTAAAAAAAAAATATCCACATTACAAACAAAAACGTTTGTGGTTTCGGTCGTCTTTTTAAAATATACACTTTTATCTCGTTGTAACAACTATAACCTTTTCCTATATATATATATATATATATATATATATATATATATATATATATATATATATATATCACAAAACGACAGAAAACCTACTCGGTGTCCAAAAGGAAACTTAATAGAATGAAAATCAAGGAAAAAAAGATATAAGAATACGGGCAAAAGAAACCTAAATGAAGAAAAAACGACCAAAAGGCAGAAAGCTACATAAGCAGAATCAAAGAGTGCTTTTGAGGAGATTACCTCGACAGACCAATGTCAAACCTCAGAAAGTTCGATATGCTACTTGAGTTTCACGATACTGCGATCTTCAGTCGAACAGAATGCTTCCAATGTCCACATAGTTAACGCACACACACACACACACACACACACACACATATATATATATATATATATATTAATGACCACGTAGAAATGGATGTTGACTGTCAGATTCGAACTTTAAGCGATCATCAGGATATCCAACCGGAAGATCTGTCTGCGAATTGCTGTAGCCGTGGCTTTTCTCGTAGTCTGAGTCCCAAAATCTACGTTATTGAACAAAGTATAATAACTTCTACTATCAATCCTATTACGATTATAACTTAAACTCACTACGCAAAAATTGTAAGACGATGAGGATCGAACTCAATATACAGCGGTAATGTATATTTATTGATTAACCAATAGACAAGATGACTTGTTTGCTGTGGTAAAATGATTAGTAAAATTGTCCTCACTAAATACTCTCAATTTATGGTCTTGTGCCAGAACTTCATTCTGCATATGAAATAACTAATTAGGTAGGCGTCATTTTATATTATTTCTGTTCTCCAATGTAATCAAGTTCGTTTGGCTGATAAGTTCTTTCTTGTCTGGCATTTATGTTATAACACCCCACAACCAACCTCGTTTTTCTTTCGATATTTTGAATGTTCGTCAACTCCCACCACTTGGCCGTCTGTTAAGCAGTCGTCTGTTTCTGTCAACACGTACATAATTTAACACACTTCGCTAATCATTTTTTGCGGTAAGGTTCACATTTAAAATGTACTCAAGATTGCACAAACAAATAGAATCGGACTGGAATCTTGTACAAACCATTAGCAGCAGAACTTTTTCAATGTCGTCGTTGTCGTCTTCGGTGACTGTCTTGAATCGTCAGTTTCAAGAGAAAAAATATAAATAAAATACGACAAATATCTATAAAATATTAATAAATAAAATATAAATAAAATACGACAAATGCACGTTTCGAAACTGTCCCGGAGCATTTGCACTTGTCAGTAAGTCAGATTTATCTATATTTATAGAATTTCAAGCAAGCCAAAAGAAAAAAAGAAAACGTTCCTACTGATTGCAGACATTAGGAAATGTTCTGATTCTTTCAGCAACCAATGCAGACGATGGGAATTGATATCCGATACCAACTTAGTTTCGTTTCGTGAGATTTGAGGCATCCTAAAGTCGCAATCTACATAAGGTGAGTTTAAGCATTGATTCTCAAGAAACGAAAAGATATAATTTCGTACTTCAAACACACTCTTCCGAATGGGATCCTTCCATAAAAAAAAAATCACCAAAATCCCTTTGGAGGTCAATCCTGTACGACTTATGAGTGAATCTCTTGCATCTTTTTATTAGTTCATCTCGTTCACTATGGAACATTGGGCGACAAGAGCTTTCCATCGAGCACAATGCTGGTCTTGTTCCCTCCCGGTCAACCCCATCTCAGCCAGGTCTTTCTCTATGGTCTTCTTTCAGGTCTTCAATGATTTGCCTCTCCGTCTACGTTTCCGCTCCGGCTTCCACTGCAAAGAAGTCCTCGCTAGTCTTGTCGATTGCAGCTGCAACACATGACCAATAATCTTGCGCTTCTGCACTGGAATTTTTGTCAGTTTGGCCAGATCTCTCTATGATTTGTTGGTTAGTTATGTGGCCTCGCAATCAGATCCCAAGTATTAGTTACGTGGCCTTGCCATCAGATCCCAGGTATTAGTTGCGTGGCCTTGTCATCAGATCCCAAGTAGGGTCCTCAAGCATCATCGGTGGATGATATTTATCCTCTGGCAGATTTTGCTGGTTTTCTTCCATGTCTCACAGGCATGGACTGCCGTTGATATAACACAGTTATACAGCCGGAATTTAGTACCCAGGCTGAAAGAATTGCCAGAGCATATTGGTCTCATAAACCTGCAGTTTTTTCAACATCTTTCGCCGGGTCACCATTTCTAGATCTCATCAACAGATCCAAGTGCCTGGCTCTCCCACAAGACTAGTTGTTGCTGGGTTTCTTCAGTAACTAACACTTCGGTTTTCTCTTTGCTGATCGGAAGACCAAACATGGAACTGTTGTCGTTAAGGAATTTTATAGGACAACAAATAATGAGTAATTATTAGGAAGGAACTCTTCTGATAAATCGTCTCTTCTGATACAGTTATTAAGAATATCTACTGACAGTTCCGGGAATTTAAAAAATTCTCATCTTTTGGTATATAAACGTTATCAATTCATGAATATATAGAAAATACAATTCACAAAATACGAAAGCGTGAGATCAATGCATGTAGTTTACTCTTACTAGATGTGTGAGGTTTTCGGGAGGATAAATCCACATGGCCTTGCACCAGACTTAAGTAAAATGTCTCGAAATTATCTAGCCATTCCCGATGTAGGGAAATGGTAGCTTTGGATATTTACCCCAGAATCCTTTCCACTTTTTCAAAACAATCTGTAAATCCTCTTTCTCGATCACCATCAGTTGTATCGCCACATTCACCTTAATCTCATCCACGGTCGAAAATATTCCTTTTAACTGTAAAAGCCAGTGGTTGCATAGAACGAATCTAGACAATGGTAGTCGACAGATTGGGTATTGTGATGATTGCTCACAAATAATTCTGTACTTGACATGAAATATCTACTTCCTCAATTATACGATAGTCACACAATACAGAAACCCAAACAAACCAGTCGAATGGGTAACTCCATGGAAGAGTATATATCTCAGCATGTACCGTAAAGTCCCTTTTAATTGTTTGCATCAAGTTGTGCCAATGCCATACAACCTGTTTCCAAGATATTCAAAATATGTGGAAATTTTTCGGACAGATCTTGTATAAATATCTTCATGTCGACTGCATTTTTTAAAAGAAAAATAGAATTCATTGAAGTCTTAAACCAGCCTAAGCTAATATGAATAAAGACAAAAGGAAAACTTATTTTAACCGACTTTATCAAGAGAAATATACAGATATACTCTATCTGAATTTTTTACAGATATGTATAAAACACGAAAAATTATAATGTTTATATTGGAATTTTCGTGGGAGAATGGAAACAGAGATTATATAACCATAGACACTCATTTTCTAACCCTCAATTAAGACACCAGACGGCTCTTTCAAACAAATTTTAGGAATTGATAGAGAAAGGTTTGAGCCCACAGATAATTAGAAAAATTATAGGTTCCACGCGTACTCCTAATAGTCTTAGAGATAAGGTGTGACTTATGTTTAGAAGAATAAATAAAACACAATAATCAAAGCCAATTATTAAATCATATTAAATTTCCATAATGTATACTCCCCTCTAACTCTTCAAATGTCAAATGTATAACTAATTCTAATTTCTATATCCGCCCCTCGATAACCTCTTTACCTATATTAATTATAATTTATAAACTTCCCCCTTTATATTTAATTTCCCCCCTCTGTAGCTTCTTTACCTACATTCATTATAATTTATAAACTTTCCCCTACTTTAATATCTCCCCAACTCTCTTTCCATTAATCCATTACATATTTTAAAGTTATTTTAAACCCCTTTATTATTCCTCTTTTAATTTTAAATCAATATTTCATTCTTCATATAACTCCAAATTAAAGTCATAAGGTTAATATTCGGGTTTAATTTTAGAAAACTTCTTCAAATAACTTCCACCATCCTCTGACTCTTACCTCATGCCTTTCGTCTGACTGAAACATTGAAGTGGATAAATTCTGTATTATTTTTTCGACAGTTTTTTTTAGCTATCTTTCACAGTTAAATTTCTATTTCTGACAGGAACTCAGTCCACACTGGGTTTGATAAGACAGACGACCTTCGTTTGTCGAAATAGGCTACTCCCCATATGAGTTGTTTTGGGATTTTATTGTTTATTAATTATTTGATTTGTAAAAATGAATACATTGAGCTCTTTTTGGAGATCAGTTTTAAGAATTAGTATTAATAGAATCCACTTGGATTATGCGTCAACGGATTTGTTACCTTTACTATATATATATATATATATATATATATATATATACTTCAGCAATAAAAAAGGGTTAATTGGGAACATCAAAGACAAAAATTTCTGAGCAATTCGAAATTAGCTTAGAACTACTACCAGCACAACAACATCTATTTCTTTATGTCTCTTCATATCTATCTATCTATCTATCTATCTATCTATCTATCTATCTATCTATCTATCTGGTTCTATTCATTATCTATCTATCTATCTATCTATCTATCTATCTATCTATCTATCTATCTATCTATCTGGTTCTATTCATTATCTATCTACATCTTTTCCTATTTATCTATTTCAGTCTATTCGCATCTATCTCAGTCTGTATCACTAAATCATTATTCGCAAAAAAATATTCTTAGAATCTAAAACTATTTTATGGCTTTAAATAACCCGCAAAGTGTTGATAAAATTAAAAATACAAATCAATGAATCTGTTTCTTTTTTTTCGTTCTTTCTTTCTATCTATTTGTCAAACTATTTGTATTAATATATATCTCTTTATCTCTTTCTGAACATATCTATCTATCTATCTATCTATCTATCCATATCTATCTATCTATCTATCTATCTATCTATCTATCTATCTATCTATCTATCTATCTATCTATCTCATTCTGTTCATATCTATCTATCTATCTATCTATCTATCTATCTATCTATCTATCTATCTATTCCATTCTGTTGCTATCTTTCTTGTTAGTTCGCTGTAGACGAGAAATTCATGCTTCAGAATTCATAGCTAAACTTCGCAGCAACGATTCGGCTGCCGTTTGATGTGCTACATCGACAGATAAAAACAAAATCAATACATTTAGACGGAAGATGATCGTGGCCTTTTCATGACATAACTGCGTGTAGAATTCCATAATGCGTTCGTTGGCTGCGTAGCTTCGAATTAAAAAATAAATTAATTAAAAACAACTTCAAAATCATTACATAATGTCGCTTCTCACTTCATCACACTCACACACACAAGCACACACACTTACTGATAAGCGCGCATGAGGGCACGCACTATCTCTCTACGAAGGTAAAAATATATTTGTAATTCAACTGATCTAACTCAGTCTATTTCTTTCTTTCTTTCTATTTATCTATCAATGTATTCATATCTATCTATCTATCTATCTATCTATCTATCTATCTATCTATCTATCTATCTTATTGTATTCAAATCTACCTATCCATTTATCGATCTCAATCTGTTACTATCTCTCTCTCTCTATCGCAATCTGTCACTATCTCCCCCTCACTCTCTATCTATCTGTATATCTATCTTGTGTGTGTTTGTGTGTGTGTATCAATCATTGCTTTGTTTCTGATCTGTGTGTCTAAATATGTCTATGCATATAATGAATCAAGATCATGAAAAGAATTAAAGATTAATTAAGGAAAAACGAAAATCACAATCGAATTATTGAAATGTCGTTATTTTGCATAGAAAATGTCGTTGACGATGAAAGCTAATGGGATTTTTATCCTCAGATTTTGATGTGAAAAAGAAAAGAAAAACAAAATATGGCTGATCATAATTATACAAAAAGAATTGCTTTGTTTTCAAGTGACATTTTTAAATTTCTATTTCGACACAAAATTTATAATCCGCCTACAAGCAGTGGGTACTGAAAAGGTGCCTGCTTGGGAGACTTTCCATTATTTGATCAAATGGTCAAAGTAAGAATTATTCTTTTTTATTTTTAATCTAGTCTTCATCACGCCGTGAATTTTTCAACACTCCACGTCGAATAAATAATATTTTTGTTACTGATCAGTTGAAGTTGCATAAAATTTACCATCAAACACATTCGCGCACACACTTATATAGATATAGACACTAAATTTTATCATTTTCCTTTCTCTTTCGCACATACCGAGAGCATTAACAAGATGGCTTCGAATTTGATATGAAATACAAAAACAAATTCCTACTAAGCTATCACGATTAAAAAGACAAATAATATCCGTAACCGCTACATCTGATAAACTTTTTCAGATACGAAAACAATAACTTGTCACCAGGATCATATATATATAGGATATATATATATATATATATATATATATATATATGTATGAGTGGATATTGAAAAATTACGAATTATTTAAGAAATCCTCAAAAATGAATTCTGAAGTTTGGTAATTTGGTCATGTTTTGTATAGTAACTCAGGTTGAAATATTTTCAGCACTCCTCTCTCTCTCTCTCACTCTTTCTCGCTCGCTCGCGCGCGCGCGCACACACACACACACACATATATATATATATTCAACTCTCCCGTCGAATTCGACGTATGATGGTCAAGCATCTCAATTCCTAAGAACTGACAGCCCGATACGATCACTTCTTATTTGATTTGTTTATAGTGGTGAAGGTTTTGTGCAGAAACATCCATACTTTTTGAAGGGCCGAATACAAAGACCTGGTGAATTCAGAGTTGTCCTTCTCTTAGACCAGTTGCCATCCAAGGCTATAAAACTCAGTCCTGCTATTATTTACTATTTGCCCATTGCTGGAGGTGGGAGAAGAAGGGATTTATACATTACCCAAGTGTATTAATACGTAAGTGAATGCAAGGGATTCGACTGCAATTCGAACTCACTCGGCTCTCCGATTCCTCAATCCAATATATATATATATATATATATATATATATATTTAAAATAGATAATTTGGTTAACAAATGAAGCACTGATCACATTGGTATCTTTTCGTTTTCCCTTTTATTATTAACCAAACTATCTATTTTAAATACTACATGAAGCAAACGTGGACTTTCTCTTTCTCTCTCTCTCTCTCTCTATATATATATATATATATATATATATATATATATATATATATATAAAAACAAACCACTTTAAGGTTCCATGTAATAAATTATTTATTACATGGAACCTTTAAGTGGTCTGTCTGTCTGTCTCTCTCTCTCTCTCTCTCTCTCTATATATATATATATATATATATATATATATATATATATAGATAGATAGATAGATAGATAGATAGCGAGAGAGAGAGAGAGAGAGAGAGAGAGACTGACATTGATAGATATTATTATTAGATAGAGAAAGATACAGATCGATAAATATATCCACATCAATGGACTGACTCAGCTAGTGAGCTCGATAATGAGGCTTTCTGATGTGTCATGTGAACTAAATTCAAATTTACTCATCTCTTTTTCAAGAAGAGATACTTTTAGGTCGTTACTACTGTAGTGAGTTTGTTTTTCACTGAGTGCCGATGTGTTATCTGCTTTTGATCGATTAAGCCACACTGAGTCTCAATCCGAGGATGATGATATTTACAAAATTTATTTCTCACTGGAATTAGTGGACGAGGTCAGGCAAAGATCCTGGGAATTTAGTAATGAGGTTTTTAAGATTAGCATAACATCACACCTTCGTACACTTCATCTATCTTTAAAGCTTTCTTTATTTAATATGAAGATTTTCAATTTTCCTACTGTAGTTTTGATTTTATCTCATTTTATTTTCATTTTTCTTGCTTTAATAAATACTTTTACCCCTAATAAGATTTTCAAATTTGGAGGAAATTCTTTTTCCATCGGTTGAAAGCCAGAAAAACCAAAAAATAAATGGGGTTATTAAATAAAGCCACGTTTGGCACAAGGCTGCAAATATGTTGTTATGTAATAATAATAGTTTGCGAGAACAACATAACAAAACACTCATTTACGTGTTTATATATTACAATTTAATTTGTTTCCCTCCCTGGGTAAATTTTTGCCCCGTTTTTCTCTATTTAAGCAGAAAACTACATTTCACCAACGTCGTTATCCATTCACTTCTTTTTGTATAATAACCTACACAAGTGTTTTTTTTTTTTGTTTATTTTTTTTTTTAATGCCGAATAGACTGACTGAATTTGGAAAGAGGCATTGAACAACTATGAAATTCTATCTTCTTCCTATATTTTCACTTGGCGCCTACTTTTCACGTGACAGTCGGATTTGAAGAATCAGAGGCTCGATTCACTCCCCCCCACCGCCGAATCTTCTCTCGTCTCGCTGCTACTACCTCTTCCGTTTCTCATCTTCCCTCTTGATTTACTCTTTATTGATCTGAAGCTCTTCCCAACTACAAATCTGATCGGCCACCTATCCCTCCGAACTCCGCCGCCTCCATCATTCCGAAAGACAACGAGACTTGACGGGGGCGGGGGTTAGGAAGAGGAGAAAAACAACAAGAAGAAAGTTGTTCTGAGGGAACCGAAATTTATGGTGAGTAGTGACGGCATCTCCACCACTCCGACCCGCCAAGCCAAATATGGCAGGAGAAACAATGTTAATATTATTAATGATGGCGCTGAGATGAAGCAAGTGGAAGAGTAGTAGCAAGGAAAATGAGATTTGATGAGGTTGTGACGAAGAGAGAAGAAATGAGTAAGAGAGAGAAATGGAAGAAAAAAAAAAAAACAAACAGGAATATGATAATAATTAGTACTGGGACGAGTCAAAATGTTATTATTCATAGCTACATGAAAGAGAACAAATGAGAAATAGGAGGAGGAATGAAAAGAAACAAAAGAAAAAAAAAAGAAAAAAAGAATAAATAAAAGAGGAAAATACATGAAAACTAAGCCACCACCACCACCATACACACAAAAAAAAAACACGCAAAAGAAAGAAATTGAAAAAAAAGCAAAAAATTAAATAATTCGAAATAATCAAAAACAAAAGTTAAAAAAAAACAAAACAAATAAGAGGTAATAAAAATATGAGTGAAGGTAAAAAAAAAATAGGTGAGACAAAGTACTTTTTTATCCAATAATAATTCTGTAGGTTATCAATGATTTTACAAACACTCAGAAGCACTCAGTGAGGAGAAGAACTGAATTAATAGTTGATTGAAGATTCATATAGTTGTATGAAAACCCAATTTCTGAATGACTTGTTTAACGATGAACGATTTTATTGGGCATTCGGGGTCTGGAAAAAGAGAAAAGGCGATAAGGATTGTGTGGAGGCAGTGGAGGCCATGCCATAAACCAACAGAGCTTCTCATTATTGATTCTAGCGTCAAGACAAAGCTAGATCAATGAGACAAAGGAAAACGAGAAATAAAATTGATCTATCTATCTATCTATCTATCTATCTATCTATCAGTTTGTCTGGTTCTATCTCTCTCTCTCTCTCTCTCTCTCTATATATATATATATATATATATATATATATATATATATGTACGTATGGGTGTGTGTATGTATGTATGTAAGTATGTATGTAAATTAAGTCCACTCTGGCCTTAGGCTACAAATAAGGTACAAAATAAAGTGTTCATAAGAATAGTAACTGATCCGAGGTTGTTAACCATCACTGCCCGTAACTCGCCGAAGAATCCTGTCACCTGATTTCATATGATAGGCTGCCTTTTTTTTTTTTGGAAAACCCAGTATTGTGTAATGTCAAATTAAGAATAGAGAAAGATGCCTTCCAATATCTAAACAAAGTATCAACGTGAAAATTTCGTTAGAAAGAAAGAAAAGAGCGCTGAATTGCTCGGCTATAAATCAGTCCTCCTCTATATCAGTGAATGCCGGACAATTTCTTTACAGATGAAATGGATATATATATATATATATATATATATATATATATATATATATATATATTGACCATGATTAGATAGATAGATAGATAGATAGATAGATATAAAATAGACAGAAAGATAGATAGATAGAAATATGTAAAGAAAAGTAAATATAATATATGTATATATATATATATATATATATATATATATATATATATATATATATATATATATATATATATATATATATATATATATATATATATATATATATATATATATATATATATATATATATATATATATATATATATATATATATATATGAGCAATCATTTAGACGTTTTCCTGTTTCACTCTCTCTTCATATCACATATTTCTACCTAAATCTACACATGTTCATATATTTAGCATATACATATACATACATATATAAAAAGGAATGTGCTTCGATATATACATACATATATACATATATGTGTGTGTGTGTGTGTGTGTTTTATACCTTTTTGCTATAACCTTCCCATCTCTATTCTAACACAGAAATACAATTTTCTCTTATGTTAAACTAATAAATCGAACCTAATAATTTATTTGTCTTTAATTATTTTTAGCTTCCAAATTAAATTCTGCTATCAGATAATAAGCTCGTCTTTGCATTTTGCTTATAAAATATTGAAAACACAAATATTATTTTCATTTTATATGGAGTGACAGGAGAGAAGAGTGAAAGGTAGGCATTTCTACTGAATTAGCCTTCCGAATAAAGTAAAAAAATGCAAATGCCGTGGTGAGAGAATTGTGTGTATCGTTTGCATTGAGGTGTGTTCTTGATATTCTCCTGCTGGCGCCAAATGGAGTCGGGTCTGAGGTTTCAGCTTGTCTTTTTTTCTCTGCAGTGACTGCCACGCTTTTTCGTCTTGTGACCAAGCGAAGCAATAAATATGCATTTGACGTGTAGGTCTTCACAACACAATTAACTGCTTTGTTTAATAAATATTTCCGTCCTTCTTTCTTTCTTTCTTTCTTTCTTTCTTTCTTTCTTTCTTTCTTTTTAAGCTCCTTCCCTAAAATAAATCCAACTCGTATAAAATCCAGTTCATCCTTTTTTCGCCTCAGAAAGATTTCCAAAATTAATTTTAATATTTTCTCTTGATTTTCCTTTCTAAAGAATTCATTAATTATTACTATTTTTGTCACAAATTATTTGTTATATTTGCTTATATATTTCATGTCAGAAATGCAATATCAGGCCGATTTTTTTAAAAGTATTGTTATTATTGACAATTCATATATTTATTAATTAATTAAACTAATAATATGTGGGTTATATTCATAGATTCAATTTATGCGATTTTTAATAAGGATTCTCACTGACCTGCTAAACACCATTATCGGGTTGTCACTTGTTTCATTTGGATAACACTTTATTTACTAAGATTTTCACGGGCAAAAGGCTGCACTATTGGAGATCGAACTCTTTACAGTAACGAATTAGCTTATAAGCTCATGTGGTAAATCATCACTCTACGGTAGGCACCTAACATGCTTCTTAGTGTATCACATTGTAACGTATAACTAACAATTTTATGCATTAGTATGTATTATATATAATATGCATTAGTATGAAGACTTTTAAGGAAAATATCGATTTTACTCTATTCAGTCGACTGTTTGTTATGAAAACAACATAGATCGATAAAATGTTCCTTATTACTGTTATGTTCAATTTGAATTGGTGTTTGCATCTTTGTTCTTTTCACAACGTTTCGAGCCCTAGGGACTTTTTTTCAGCTGATGATCTGGATAAGCTCCAGGGAATTTTTGAACTGAACCTTTTATTTAATCTACGTAGATAGAAGAAGGTTGGATTATTACAACGGCCGAAATGCTGTTATAATAAAATTAGAGACGGAAATATTAGTCCAAATGATGTAAATTATAATAACTCCTCATCACATCAATTATTTTACTACTAATTTTATTCTATCTTTTCATTCACACTTTCGAGTCCCAAACTTTGGTCCGTGAAATTTTTCTTTATTATTAGTTTTACTCCATCTCTTTATTGTTGCTTTTTGTTAAAAAAAATCCTATACTTCGATTGCGAGACCAAACAAACAAAAAATCAAAAATTGTTGTGGTAGGATCCACCTAATTTGCATAGTGGAGTACCGACCATATAAATATGGTTGGTACCGGGAAGAGAGGGAGGAATCAAGAGATTTCAACCAGAGACTCTGCCCGACTGCGACTCAGTCAATACATTCTCCAGGAACGGTCTTACCAGGAATATACAAAAGACTATATGTAAATATTGTGTACACTTTCTTGTTTCAATACATTTTGTTCTAAGTACATTTTGTGTTGCATTATTATTCCATGCATTAGTCAAGTTTCAACAAAAATGATTTTTTTTTTCTTGGGGGGTTCCTTTATAACAGGATGGTTCTATTTTGAAATCCAGCATTGTATAATATCAGTGCTTCCGAAGGCAGCATCAAAACAGCCAAAGATGCCTTTCGAAAGCTAAACCAAGTATTAAGAATTAGGGTAACTTCGGTTAAAGAAAAATGAAAAGAGTTATGAACTGTGATGTATTATCAATCTTCCTATAATGGCAATTTTCTCACAGATGAAATGGAGACTTGAAGCAACAGATGTGGTTCTACTGAAATATGTGAGTTACGAAGAAGTTTTAAGAAGACTGGAAACCAATAAGAAAGAATCAGTTGAATTTCTTGGGAAATGAAGAAAGCATCAAGAATTTGACGCTCTGGAAACATCTTAAAGGAACGAAGTCAGAGAGAAACAACGATTAAACTACTTAACGAGATTACATAAATGGATCAGGTGTACGAGAATGACAATAAAAACAAGTACTGCTTAAAGCTACAAAGAGAAGGAAGATGTGGAGAGCCATGATTGGCCACATTTTGAAGGGTCACACCACATAAAAGAAGAATGTGTATTTACCTTAGTCCAGTGACACCAAAGATGGTCATTTGGAAATGGCATTAATATTTTTGGTCCATGAAAGAAAAATCTAAATTGCCCCAAACAAAGACGTTGACTTGCCACCCCAGTTAACTTCCCGGGGGAGCAATTCTAACAAACACATCGATGACCGTGAACAAGATTAGTCTGAACATAATTTAGAAACGGAAGGACAAAATCTACATAACAATATCTCGAGATGAATAAAACTGAAGAAATATCGCCATTGATTTGTATGAAGACAAAATAGAGTTGAATCTGGAATAATGAGAATTCTACGCATATTTGTCGACATTATTTTAGAAACAAGTGTTTATTATTATTATTATTATTATTATTATTATTATTATTATTATTATTATTCCTTTTGATTTCTAGTGTGTACACATTTCTTTCCGGGCCCCTTCCAGTGACCTAAGGTCAGAAATGGCAACATGACATTTTCCACTGACCAATTAAAAAAAAAAAAAATGAACGTAGATAAAACCTTTCGTAAGGTGTGGGCTCTACTCGTGA